CACCATCCCACCTCAAGTTTGGTAACAAATGAGAAAACAAGTCTCTTCAGTAGTGGTTCTACTTGGCTCAGTCTTGCTCCAGTTTACATTTAGTTTGTCCTGGGTTTTAGTTTTTCAGAAACAAGAGCTTTTTGTCAAATAACGAAATATCTCTTGTTTGGGGTATAGGTGTGTGAGATAAGTCTTAGAAGCTATAATTTTAGGTGAAATTGGCCCAGAATCTAGTGTAAGGGGGAAGCTTTTAAAAAAAGGATCAGTCCTTATTCATCTATCAGCGGTGAACACAAATGCCACACAGACTACATTCATTTATTGTGTCCTGGAGAACAATTACTTTACAAAGTCGTGTGGCTCAAAGTGGCATTGATGGTTCTTTGGAAGCAAATGTGGACTCACTACAGTTGATGGCTAATCCATTTTCCTTCCGTGTGGCATGTTTAATCAGCTCTGAGAGAGACCGAACTCTGCAGGTGGAACTGGAAGGGGCTCAGGTGTTACGCAGTCGGCTAGAAGAAGTTCTTGGACGAAGCTTGGAGCGCTTAAACAGGCTGGAGACCCTGGCCGCCATTGGAGGTGGGGAACTGGAAAGTGTGCGAATTCATCACAAGCATGCCTACTGAGCACTGGCGGGTCAGACTGCAGCCCAGGATGGAAAACCTTGTTTGCACTAACCAGAAAGATCCTTGTCTGACTTTGACAGGATTAAATGGTGACTTACTAATGATGGAACTGGTACAAGTAGCATCAACTACAAAGTTAAACTCACTTTAGTCTACATGGATCTCACTGTACATGCATATTCCTAAATTGAATGGTAGAGGTTGCAAAATATATTTGCACATTTTAAATCATTCTGTTTTAGTTTTTCCACTTTTATTCATTCTTATCCCTAGCCCCTTCTCATTCCCTCATCCCTTCTGTGGGCCAATAAAGTTTATTCTTCCCCCACTTTCACAATCCATTTCATATGTTCCATATCATATCATAAATGCATGTGTGTGTATTATTTTTGCCTTTCAGTCAACTCCTCTTTGAGTGAGAGCATTTTTTAAATCAAAAGAATGCCCGTTTTAAGATGAGAGAGTGGGAAGGAGATTGAGAGTCTGTAAGAATGACTTCGTAAAAGTGATATGATCCTTATCAGAAGGTAATCAAAACCAGGAAAGTAGTCTTGTAATAGTAGACTGCAAGTATTAAGAAGGCCAAGTTAAAGAACAGAGGCAAAAGCTGTGAAAGTGATCATAGTAAACTTTTATCTCCAATACTGTCTCAGAGTTGACTGTTGTACACGAGTGAAATTAGATTAGGTACAGATTAAATTCTATTTAAAATTTGTTCTTTATTGATACCTTTAGGTTTCTTTAAACCAAAGTCATGCTATTTAGTCAGAACATGACTTCTAGAATGGTCTTCCAGAGTCAGAATTCTTTGTCTACAAAGATAATTTCAAATGTAGTATCCCTCTTTACATTCAGTGTTTCACCAAATAACTCATTATAGCCAAAGGAGGGTATTGCTTCTTCCATTTGTGGCACTAGATAGGGTCCTAAGTTTTTCACTATTTAGTATGTATACATTTCTTCATATAAAAAGAAGTAATCAGCTTCAGGCTTTGAAGTGCTTGAATAGTTTAAAAAGAAATGTTACAGATGTATGTTTATAGTTTTAATCATTGTCTCAATGTTTTCTTGTGGCAACATGACAGGTATAAGGAGAGGGGCACTGGAGATTGTACCTCTGATGTCTTGACAGTCAAGAGTGTGAAAAGTAACCAAGATTGCTTTGCAGCTTTGTGGGTTCAACATCATGAATTTGTTTTTATTTCCTCTAGTTTTAAGTTTCCTAGGTTAGAAGCTGAGGTTTCTGTTACTTTAAACATGGAATTGTGGAACAGCTTTGTAGCATAATAAATGTGACCGAATACCCTTTCTAAACTAAGTGGGGCACAATGATTTTTTCCTTCCATTATTTTTTACATGACACTTTATTTCTTTCACATGCTGACATGACTTGTATTACATTCTAAATTTCATCTGTTTCTGTAACTTTAGCTGTGTCTATAACAGATAGAGCGTCAGTAAAACTAGAGTGGACAGGGAGAAAATGTTCTACTGGGGAAGCACTCTGGAATCTTCTGATTAAGTAATTTGCAAAAGATTGATAGCCATAAGCCTTACTCTTAATAGATCTGCCATTTCAGTTTCAATGGCTTTTGAGGAAAAAGGAGTCATTTAAGGAAGGAGATAGGAAGTGTAGGCAGATCCATCCACTTTTCTTAGTCTCCCAATTTTAAGAAACCATTTCTTGCACAAAATGTTTTATAACTTTCCAGAAGTAAAGAGGAAGGTAATGGAGCTGTAGAAATGCCAACCCATCAAAGACTAGTTTGTCATGTCGTTACAACAAGGCATTTAGGGAACATCTCTCCTTAATTTTACTAATAGACCAAGGAAGCTCTCTGAGTCTGCTATTAACATTCAGCTCTGGGTGATTCTTTGTTTCTAATGGCTCATAGTGATTACAGTTTATGTTAATAATCACTTCTACTTCTGTCAACCTCCAGCAAGAGTAGATTGATAGAAGGATAAATTAAAAGTCTGATCTTACTCTCATAAGTGTGACTAAAATTTGGCACTAACTTTTTCTTGTCTAGATAGCTGGAATGAGGCTTATAAACAGTGTTATCTGGGGAGAGCTTGCTGGTCTAACAACTTTGGGTGTTGAACACATCATTTAATAGTATTTAGCATGATATAATATTCCATTTTCTCTTCAGGAGCACAGATTCTTTCTCATACTGGATTATTCTACCTTTGACAGTCATTTTTCAACATGACAGTAATTTTAGATAAAGCATCGTGTGCTTATAGAACCTTCTGCTTGAGTGAAAAAGTAAAAATAATCTTCAAATAAAAATAATGAAGTAGAAACAAAATAGGGGGCACCAAGATGGCCGAATAGGAACAGCTCCAGCCTCCAGCTCCCAGCGTGAGCGACACAGAAGACACGTGATTTCTGCATTTCCAACTGAGGTACCGGGTTCATCTCACCAGGGCATGTCTGATAGTCGGTACAGGACAGTGGGTGCAGCCCAATGAGCGAGAGCCGAAGCAGGGGAAGGCATTGCCTCACCTGGGAAGTACAAGGGGGAAGGGAATTCCCCTTTGTAGCCGAGGGAAACCGTGACACACAACACCTGGAAAATTGGGTCACTCCCACCCTAATACTGTGCTTTTCCAAGGGTCTTAGCAAACAGCACACCAGGAGATTATATCCCACGCCTGGCTCAGAGGGTCCCACGCCCATGGAGCCTCCCTCATTGCTGGCACAGCAGTCTGAGATCTAACCACAAGGCAGCAGCCAGGCTGGGGGAGGGGCGCCCACCATTGCTGAGACTTAAGTAGGTAAACAAAGCGGCCAGGAAGCTCGAACTGGGTGGAGCCCACCGCAGCTCAAGGAAGCCTGCCTGCCTCTGTAGATTCCACCTCCAGGGACAGGGTATAGTAAACAAAAAGCAGCAGAAACCTCTGCAGATGTAAATGGCCCTGTCTGACAGCTTTGAAGAGAGTAGTGATTCTCCGAGCATGGAGGTTGAGATCTGAGAACCGACAGACTGCCTGCTCAAGTGGGTCCCTGACCCCCGAGTAGTCTAAGTGGGAAAGCCTAACTGGGAGTAGCCTAACTGGAGTGGACCTCAAGCAAACTCCAACAGGACTGCAGCTGAGGGTCCTGACTGTTAGAAGGAAAACTAACAAACAGAAAGGACATCCACACCAAAACCCCATCTGTATGTCACCATCATCAAAGACCAAAGGTAGACAAAACCACAAAGATGGGGAAACAGCAGTGCAGAAAAGCTGAAAATTCAAAAAATCAGAGCACCTCTCCCCTTCCTTCCAAAGGAACGCAGCTCCTTGCCAGCAATGGAACAAAGCTGGACAGAGAATGACTGATGAGTTGAGAGAAGAAGGCTTCAGTCGATCAAACCTCTCAGAGCTAAAGGAGGAACTACAAACCCAGAGCAAAGAAACTAAAAACCTTGAAAAAAGATTTGACGAATGGATAACTAGAATAACCAATGCAGAGAAGTCCATAAATGACCTGATAGACATGAAAACCATAACACGAGAACTATGTGACAGATGCATAAGCTTCAGTAACCGACCTGATCAACTGGAAGAAAGAGTATTGGTGATTGAAGATCAAATGAATGAAATGAAGTGAGAAGTTTAGAGAAAAAAGAGTAAAAAGAATGAGCAAAGCCTCCAAGAAATTGGGATTATGTGAAAAGGCCAAATCTACGTCTGATTGGTGTACCTGAAAGTGAC